CCCCAAAACCCCAAAACCCCAAAACCCCAAAACCCCTGCTTCAATATATAAATTGAATATTGTTTGTAATATTGTCGATTTAGCTTAATATATTTTAAAATGAGTAAAAGTAGCTCTCTATATCTTGATGATGAAAGACTTCTCGTGATCTTTAATGAAATAAAGAATAATGACCAGACATGAGACTTTATAACATTCTAAGATTTTGAGAGTGCCATCCGTAGTTTCAACATTAATTTAATGAATGGACTGAAACAAGAGGATCCAGATTTCCATCAATACTGCAAGGAGTTGTTCATGATTATTTGTCAGAGTTCACTTCAAAATGAAAACAACAATGAGAATTCTAACAGAAAGAAGTCTGCATCCAAATCTAAAAAAGAAAGTACAATCCAAAGAAAGTAGGATGATGGCAAAAATAAATAGCCTCGGTAGGTATCATCAAGTCAGAGAAGAATATCTGGATTAAATCAATAAAAAACTAAAAATGAGCAATTAAATCGGTAGATAGCTAATAATAAGAATATTAAAAACCAGTAATAACCAAAACGCAATGCCTCTCTCCTTCAGAATAAAAACAATAATGCTTAAGGAAATAATTTTGATAATCAAAGGCAGAAGAGAGAGTCCAATCTAAATCAAATGAAGCAAGATCGCTAGAGAGCAGCCTCGAAAAAGAAAAACTTTGGAGATAAAAATTCATAAGTTCTGATTTAATCAGTGCGATTAGACTTCGAAACTTTCACGTAAGCAAAATAAAAAATAAACTGGCCTTAATTTAAATTGTAGGAAGAACTATCGTTAATTCGCAACACTGAGAAATGTAGTATACTGTATTCATGAAAAACTGAAGAAGAGAGAATTGAAGTTGCTGAAAAGAGATAAATCTAAGCCTTAATTTAAAGATGCTCCTCATTAAAAAGTGGATGACATCTTTGAAATCTAAATGAAATCAGCAAAGATACCTTTCTAAGACTCAGCTGAGGCTTGAGGGTAGGTTGTGAACATATATCTAGATCAGGAAGATATGGAATTCGATGATCCAAGAGGGGATGAAAGTGATGGCTATGATAATGGCAGAGATTTAGACTTTGAATCACATGATAGTAATGATTTTGATAGAGATCCAAAGTAAGCCCTTGAAGATAGTTTCTTTATCAGAAACAATATGAAGCAGTTTGAAGAATTTTATGATAGTGATAATCCTTTGAATGAGTTAAATGATTTAGACCCAGATGCTATGGGTTCTTAATTCTTTGATGAGAGTCAGTATGTTGCAGAAATAGATAACTATCATTTAAATGATGGTTAAATGGAGTTTCTCGTGCATCATGTCAATAATGATCCTACCACTAGAAACGATGTTACTAGTAGAAAAGAAAATGATTTTGAGAAAACTCAAGAGCTGAATTTCAAAGATCTTAATGAACAACAGATAGCTTAATCATCAAGAATGAATAATAGATATAATTCAAGGGTTAGCAATATAGACATTACAATGCCAGATTATTTTGCTGGCTAGGACTAAATTAAAACACCGATTTATAAGGATAAAAATAATAATCCAAACTCAAATATGTCTAGGCTAGAGTAAGTCTTAGACAACTCTAGAAGATAGTAAGATGCTAGTTTCAGCTAGAGATATTAATTTAAAAATAATGCTATACCTTAGATGAGAGGAGATGAAGACGATGAGGATGAAAAACTTGAAGAACTAGAGAATCTGATGAAAACTATTCATAAGGTTGGAGATAGTTAAGTCTAATAAAACGATGCCAATAAAGTAGATGGCATAAATTTGGATTAGATTGATATCAAAATAGAGGATTAAGCCAAGAATTAATCTAGTCCATCTAAAGAGAGTGATAAAAATGATAAAAAATAAGTTAGAAAGGAATCAGAAAAAGGTATTAAAAAAGAAAATTCAAAAAATAAGAATGCTTGCTGTGCTTGTTGCACAATATTTTGAATAATATATACTATCCTATTGTTTAATTATGAAGTTGAAACTTTACTTTTTGGAAATATCTCTCAGTGGGGTTTTGGGGTTTTGGGGTTTTGGGG